TTAGAGACTTTTGTAAAATTCAAAAAACTTTTGAAAACTTTCATTTGAGATATAATTTATGTGAATCTAATGCAATATTGTGAAATTATTACATACGAGGTTGTGGTTCTCATAATTCCCCCATATAATAAAAAAAAAAATTTAAAAAGAATAAAATTTTAAGTCCTCAATTAAATAAATAATAACAATTATACATATGAAAATTAAATTTAATATTCAGTATTATTAATATAATACGCCTTTAAAGAATAGATAAAAATATGTATTTAAATTTAATTGTAAATTAGTCTATATAAAATTTTATAATTTAATTAAAAATAGATATTTTTCAGGAAAAAAAAGGAAATAAAAATTCAATTTAATTTTTTTTTATATAAAATAGAAATAAACAATAAGAGAGAGAAAAAAATAGAAACTAATACAATCAATAGAAAAAAATAAATTTTAATCACAGCTCTAATATTTATAGAAGGGAAAATGATAGAAAAATATTGAAAAAAATACATATTAATTTCCCTTTTTTTTTTTTGTGAAAGTCTCCTAAAATCTTGTGATTAATGAAAGACAAATTTTAAGATTTTATTTGAGTACTTTATACTTTTTTTTTTTTTTTGAGGAAAATAAATTTATTCATTAATCAAATCGGCAATGAGTACTTTCTACTTAAAAGTTAGTACAATGTAGACTTTTATTAAAGTCTTTAAAAGTCGTAAAAAAATTGAATAAATTGAATACATCGTGACTTTTAGAGACTTTTTAAAAGTTTATAAAAGTCTTAATTGAATATACCAATATTTTTAGAGAGTCTCCAAGAGTTTACATTGAATATCCCTAAACTTTTTAAATCCCAAAAAGTCATTAAAAGTCTCAATCCCTAAACTTGATTTCTCTACTATAGTTTACATTAGACGTGTTTGAGCAAAGTTCAATAGTGAAATTCTCATAAAGGCATAAGATTTGGGGCTGCATAAAATGGATTCCTTTCGAAATTTGTAAATAAATTATTATCTAATTATATGCGAAGCAGGGAAGAAGTCTTGTGGCTATGATGGCCTAATAATGCTATATTATTCAGTGCTGAGGAAAATGGGATTGTGGGAAGTAAGGATGTGATGGTGGAGATGATTCTTCAAAAGTAGTGCCGAGAAAGGATGGCAGCATCTACGATGTGTGGCGTGGTGCTGGTGGCATTGTATGATGGTGAGTGTAGTTAATGGTAAGAAGATGATGGTTACTCATTACTTTTTTTTTTGGCTTTTTTTTTTATTTTTTAAATCTTTTCATTTGACGAAATTGTTTCTTTTTAAATAAAAAAAAAATAAGGCAAGAGTAATTTGCATTGCACGCACAAACCTAAAGGTCTTTTGGACTAAATTCATCCAAAAGGGATTAATTAGGGACGGATGGAGGGGGGCCAGGCCGAGCTGTAGCCTCGTCCAGTCCCCACCCACTCATTTTTTTCAGTGTTCTAAAATGCGTAATGCGTAGCGAAGCGTCGAAGCCGAGAATCGAGAATCAAGAATCACAAGTTTAGGCGTGTCAATGCGAAGAATAAGCGGCATAATGCGTTTCATATTTTTAAGGCATTAAATATATTTTTATATAAAAAAAAAATTTTGTTCTAAAATGCGTCGCCTAGACGCGCTAATGCGGACTAATGCGTGCAAATGCGCGCCTAGGCGCGCGAATTTTCGAACAAAAAACATCAAAAGCGCATTTTCCGCGCATTG